ATGTGTGCGCTTATGAATTTGTATGTATGTATTGATAATTTGATACATATAGCTGACAATTAATACATATGAATATACACTCATACACGACGGCACACACACACACAAAAAATATGTCAAATAATATAAATCATACACAATTATATATTAACTTAATGTTGTAGATAGGTCATGTTTATTAGTTTATATGTATATTTGTCATGTTTATATATCCTTTCTTTGTACTCCTACGTAATTTACTTTAGCTTTTGAATTTTTTGATATCCATTATAATTAAGTTGATTACTTATTTAGATAAAATGTCAGATCAAATACGTGATTTATTTATATGTTCTTATGTCACATGACTATATATAAACAACACCCAAAAAAAAAAATTAGGAGTAGACTAGTAGTATTTCGAAATGCAGGAGAATAATGATAAAAATCAGAATAATCTAACTTTAGTTAAAATTATAAGGAAAAAAGGAGGGAATGTTAAGATTCAAAGCAAGGTTACTTTAAAATAATTCCAATTTATATATTTTTCAACTTTTTTTTTTGATAATTATCTTTTTCAACTTATCGAGATAAAATCATGGAAGGCGATGGGCATGCATATAATACATAACGAAGCATCTTGGGTTAAGCTATAAAAATGATGCAGTATAGGTTTCAAAGTTTGTGTGGCTTTCCGTATATAATATATATATATATATATATAAACCACATGATTAGATGTTGGAAATCCCTAGATATCAAATAAAACTTACTTAATCATGTTTTTACTTTTATTGGATTGAGGTGTTTGTGGGGCTTTTGAATCTCTGCCAAAAGGAATTAATAAAAAAAAAATAAAGAGTGAGAATGTTCCCAACGGCTGAATTTCTCTCTTTTTCCTCCTAGTTTGTCTTATAGGCTCATTGTGTCGATTTTTTTACTCGTTGTTTTTATATTACAAGAGATATATACTAGTATTTCTCTATACAATACCATATAATAATAAAAAATGTATGGAACTTATGTATAGAAAAATAAAGGAGAATCCTATTTTTATATATAGGCTTCAAGGCCTGGAAATATAAAATTGTAAATCAAGAATTCTATCACGAATCATAAATTATATATGTAATAAGTCTTATATTCAATGAAGAATTGCAAAAATAATAATCCATCGCAAATCATTTTTTTTATATATAATTCAAGAACATGTTATATATATATATATATATATATAGTCCTATATATATTCATGCAGTGTATGCAAATGCAAATGCATAACGTCTAAAGTGCATATTATGTCTTTTATTTTTAAATTGATATAATATTTTTATTTAAATTGTTATAATAATTAAATGAAATTATACATAACAAAATCCATCAGAACAATTTTCCCAAACTTTGAGATTAATCGAAATGGTGTGTGAGAAAAGCAAGGACAGCACACATGCATAAGAATGGGGGAAGAGAATGACTAAAATGTGAAATTTAAGATTCATTTTTTGGTGTTGCTTACAAATTAAATGCTTGTTGCGGTATATATAATGATGGAACTTACAAAAATACGTTTTTCTTCGAAGAATCATTTTGATGAACTATATATGATCAACGCCTATAAGGTTTAGTATTGATTCATTTGTCAAAATAAAATTATACAAATTATCATCTTCCAAACCGTATTACCGTAGCATGTATATCATATATGATAACTCATATACTCATGAATTATAATAACTGATGCATGAGATTATAAAATCTAACAATCATAAATTACGAGATATAATCAATACCTTTTCAATCTAATAATACAATATCAAATGATGTTGTTATCATATTTACCCTAACCAACCCTAATATTAATTCATCATTGGATGTGACTTGAATCTTTATATTTGATTTAGCTAACGTAAAATGATTGAGATCTTAATTGTATTTGAATTTCCGTGATAAAGATTGTTAAAAGAGAGTTGGCATCTTAAAAGAAGATTTTATTTTTTTGAAGGATACAAGCCTTGGTTGACCAAAAATTGATGGTTCCATCTAAAAGAAGAAATAAATCGTCTCCCTTTGCACGCTTGTCACTTAAAAATAGGAATTATGATTAGCTTATACAATAACTTTCTTTTAACTAAAGCGACAGGTTTTGAATTATAACTATAATATACTTATATGTAAAATAGCTAGCTAATTTAAAGAAGTTTCATCATGTACGAGTACATAATTAATATTATTGATCTTATAAGAATTTAAATACAAAATTTCATCCGTCTTTTAAAGGAATAAATCTTTGTAGCCCTATAAATACATTTAGAATCTTTTTTCTATATGCATTTAGAATCTTGTTTTATTTTGATATATAGGAAATAAATAAATAAGCAGGCGATAAATATAGAACTTAGAGATATACACAACCCTAAAAAAAAACTTAGATATATACACAAATTAAAGTGTCATAATATAAAAGGAGAACGAGTAAATACGAACATCTTGAAAATTGTGAACAATTTTGGACCATCGACCTAACGTCATTTATTCTTGTGGACCCTTTTTATTTTGTCACTTGAATAGACTAAATACATTTAAAAATACAGTATAATTCTCTTATATATCCAAAGTTTTGAGCTCAACGCCTCAGCCAATATATATGCCGGACCGAGTGATTCTCAAAATCCACTATGAAAAATATAGAGTTTAAACACTAGTCATCCATGATTTAAACATTAGAAATCAATCAATCATTATTAAAAATATATGGATGGAAAATGGGGATTTCAAGAATTTACCAGAAGAAGACACAACAAAACAGAAACAAGACACAAATTAAAAGATAAAGTATCTCAAATATGTGATCTGGTGAAGTAAAGGATAAAGACCATGGGGATAAGTAAAGAACAAAGTGATCCACGCCATTGTTAAATTAAAAAAAAAAAAAATTGGTTCATTAAACGAATGTAATTTCAAATTGTAATGGTTATGACTTATGACATGATTACTACTGCTAAGAGCAGTAAGTCTGAAATGATAAGCAATATTCTCCATTTTACCACTACTTCCTATTTTTAGTCAAACGAACACTTAACTTTCGATCCCTTTGCCCATGCTTCATAATTTACAATACCAAAATATGAGGGTAAATAATTATAATTACAGTCGTAAATACACTGCCTTTTTACATGACTACTGCAACTTAACTTTGTGTATGGTGAAATTTTAGTTGCCTAGTTGGTCCAGTGGTTGGATAAATGATTGAAAACTCCAGAGTGTATAAAAACTCCAGAGTGTATAAGAGATTACAGAAACGTTTTTTACAAATTAGGATATATATAGTTCATCTTGGCCTCGAATGATTTGTGATGGATCTTAGATCGTCTGTTTAGAGAAAATGCACTTCTTTATAAAAAAAAATTAAAAAATTATCAACTGTATTATACCATCCACTATTTTTACTTTATGACTGATATGAGCAAATAATTTCTAGTTAATATGTATCTAAGAAAAGTTAAATCCATGCAAGAAAAAACATTTATCATAAACTAAAAATATAATGTTAGAATTTCATTTATTAAACATATATTGATTATTAATTCCGGCTTTATATAATACAGAACAAAATTTATGATAAATACACGAAATGTTGTAGGACCATAACTTCTGGTTAATAATATAATTCACATGCATGACATGACGACCTCGAGAGTCCAAAGTCTTACAGGTTATAGACGACCTATGAATTATCTATATTTTTGTGAACAAAAGTAAATTTTATCTATATTACTTTGCAAAAATACAGAACAAATACTTCTGGCAACAACAAAAAAAATACAAAACAAATACTTTTTTCTTTTTAGCTTCGTTTACTTATGGAGATTAATTCCTTATTTGATTTATTATGACTTTTATGCTTTGTTTCACTGCTTACACTCCCCCACCACTCCCTGACACAATTCTCTCTCTCTAAAAATAGTGTAAATTTTGATGTCTGACATTGCAAGCAAAGCAATCACCCATGACCTTTAATTTTCTTTGTCTCTCCTCTTCTCTGATCTTCTTATTTTTTTGGGCATTTTAATTATAGTTAGGTTAAATTTCTTATGATATAGTCATTTACCACTAAAACAGACTTTTAAAGAAACCATATTTATTTGTGTAATCAAGATAAATATACTAACAAAACTGACATAATTAAATGCTGTTGTTTTCTATTTGTCACTGGGAGGGAAGGAGAGAGTGAAATATTGAAAATATCTAGTTTGGTTTTTCTCTCTCTCTCTCTCTTGCTTTTAGGCTTTAGGCTTTCACTACTAATACTCTCTTAGTTTAAGACATTGCCTTCACATCCAAAACACAAATGCAAATCTTTGTCTCCTCTCTCCCTTCAAAGTCTTTCATTACAAAACCCTAATACCTCCGTCTCTCTTAAGGGTTTCTATTTGGTTGATGCTGACTATCTCCAACAGAGTTCTGAACTTTTGAAGCAGATTAAGATCAAAGTAATTTGCTGCTTTTAGTTGTGAAGGTGCGTGCATAATTCCGTTCATTCATCAACAACCTGATTCGATTTTCTTTTATAACCAGTCTTGACTTCTCTCTCTTTCTTTGGTTAATTTTCTCATCAAATTTTTTTTTTTTTTTTTTTTTTTTGTTAAAATTCTCATCAAAATTTGGAGAGAAGAGAAGATTGATAATCAAAGAACAGTTGTTTTCATGACCCATTTATTTTCTTTTTTATTTACTGGTCATCATAATAAATTTCTCACTTGAATTGAAGTAGAAGACTTCTTTTGAAGTGCGTTTGTCAGCTTTTGTTTGCGCAGGCTTGCAATAAAAGTTTTATTTCCCTTAATTACCTTTTTTTTTTTTTGTATTCTTCCGTTTTGTCCTATAATTTTGGGTTTTGTAAACTTTGATTTTTGTTTTTTTTAGTAAACTTATTTGAAAAATGCTTTCCGTGAGTTGTTTCTAAAAAAGTGGAAACTCCTTGAAATTTTAATCAAGAAAGTATTCACCTTTAATAGTTTAATCATTTTGGTCTTAGTTACTAATTATTTTTCTCCAATTGTCTTGTTTTCTTCTTAGCTAGTCTCTCCTCTGTCCCCAAACCAAGAAACAATTTGCAAAGAAAAAGCAAAAGGTTTTTGAAGAAGACCCAATTTTAAAAGATGGAAATTGCAAGTCAAGAAGATCATGATATGCCCATCCCATTAAACACTACATTTGGTGGTGGTGGTAGTCATGGTCACATGATCCATCATCATCATGATCATCATGCTGCTAATTCTGCTCCTCCAACTCACAACAACAACATTACTACTCAACCACCACCAATGCCGTTACATGGTAATGGTCATGGCAACAACTATGATCATCATCATCAAGATCCTCATCATGTGGGTTACAACGCCATCATCAAGAAACCCATGATAAAGTACAAGGAGTGTCTCAAGAACCATGCAGCAGCTATGGGAGGCAATGCCACTGATGGGTGTGGAGAGTTTATGCCAAGTGGTGAAGATGGCTCCATTGAGGCTCTCACTTGCTCAGCTTGCAATTGCCACAGAAACTTCCATAGAAAAGAAATGGAAGGCGAACCGGCAGCCACCGCCATTTCCCCTTACCACCAACCACCTCCACACCGAAAACTCATGCTCAACCACCACAAGATCAGATCAGCCATGCCACACCAAATGATAATGCCAATTGGAGTCTCTAACTACCGGTACATGCATAACAACTCCGAGTCCGAGGACTTTATGGAGGAAGATGGCGTAACCACCGCATCGAGATCACTACCAAACCTGCCATACAACCAGAAGAAGAGGTTTAGGACAAAGTTCACGCCGGAACAGAAGGAGAAGATGCTGAGTTTTGCTGAGAAAGTTGGGTGGAAAATACAAAGGCAAGAAGATTGTGTTGTTCAAAGGTTTTGCGAAGAGATTGGAGTGAAGAGAAGAGTCCTTAAGGTTTGGATGCACAACAACAAGATCCATTTCTCCAAGAAGAACAACATTAACCTCGAAGACAACGACAACGAAAAGATCAACAATCTGAACAATGTTGATCTGTCCGGTAATAACGACATGACTAAGATCGTCCCATGATATAACGTTATTTCTATATGATCTTTGATAATTATGTAGTTATCGTTATGTTAGCTATTAGGGTTTTAATTTTATTTTCTAGCTGGTTTGGTTTTATTTATATATATAAGCTCATTCGCTATCTGATTAAAGGCATGGATTTCATATATAATTCTGCGCTTTGTTGTGTTTTATTTATTTGGAAGTTATATATATTAATTAAACTTGTTGTAATAAATGTATGACCAGTCGTTTTTTTTTTCTTCTTCTTTTGGCTATGTAAGAAAAGCTACTTTGGTAATATATCATTTTGAATCATTAGACTTTTCGCAGTTCGTGATCATTGTGCTCACAAAATCTGCATGCAAGATAAGCTATATACGTATTTTCCCTAGCTCATCTACATGACTTCTGAAATCGGTATCAGTATCTAAAATGGATACTGTATTTATGGAGAACCACAACTTCATGCCTTAGCTCAAAAATTGTATTATCTAGTTAGAACAATGATGTGTCTTTAGGCCAAAACATTCTTCATTTCAATCTTGAACATACAATATTAAAATAACAAAATTTAGAGAAAGAAAATAAAATAATAATTTCTGCCAACAGAGATGTGAAAAGTGTACTAACGAGTTGCAAGTCATGTCCTCTCGTGTGTGACGTATAAGGTTGAGTAAATATGTAGTTGGTGTCACAAGCGAGATCACATTTATTAACCCTCTTTGTTTATCACGTATTTCCACTTTTTAGGTATACTATAATTCGGGTAATATGCCATTTGATAAATAAAAGGATTTGTGGTTTAAATGTTTTGTTCTTTGTTCACTTTTTTTTTTTCACATGTTTCAATTTCCTTTGGTTTCTGTATATATAGAATATTAATTATCATGCGTTGCATGTGTTATACTGTTATTGTTTAATCGTTCATCTCAAACTCATTCGTTTTTCTTTTTCTTTCTACTGATTTATGTGAGAATGCTAATTCGCACTTTTATTCGGTTTACGTTTTGGTTTAACAATTTGATTATCAAATGCCTGATCTTGTAGCTCATTTGGTAAGAGGGCTAAGCTCCACCACATGAGTTCAAGTCATGGCAGAGGAGAAGATGAGAAAAGATTATCAAATACTATAGAAATAAAATTAAATCCAACCTCGTTCGGTTCAGTTTGACATGCTCTTAGCAACCTCTAGAGATTTTATCTAATAAGACAATAACTTGATTTATTTAAATCGATCTTTGTTTCAGAACTATGTTACACAAATCTTTTGTTTTTCTGTTTCAACTAAAAAAAAAAAAAAACTAAAAAAAAGTTTGTCACTACATAAAAAGGATATATATGGCCATGCTCTTGTCTTGTGGCTGTGCATGTAATTGTTGATAACGCAAGTTCAACTTTCGAAAATGGAAGGAAACAAGAGTTTTATGCTCAATACAATCTTGTATATATAAGAACTATAGTGACGCCAAATAATTTTATATTTAGTCATTTAAATTCTAAATCATCTAGCTAAAAGGAAGGAGGACTAAATGTGAAGGATGGAGAGTCGTCACTATTACATTTATTTGGGTCAATAAATTAGGAAATATGATATTCTGAGCCATATTTATTATGTTTTGTGAAGGAAACTCCATTAATGTTGCTGAAAATAAGGTCCCCTCTTGTTCCTACTCTAAGCTTTTTGATCACATTATCTCTGCAAAACAACCCTATATTGCTTCAATAAAGACTGATCGATCAAGCCCGAATTAGTACTGAGATCTGCAACTGCTATGTGCAGACCCTCTGATCAAGCTTATATATTTGGTCATAAGGATTTGACTTTGTAGAGTTTAAGAGATTAAATGTCAATTAAACTCTGCGTCATTTTAAAGAGATGTGGATTATGCATGATTGATTCAAAATATACTCAGATCTCTGAAGATTGTACCTCAAGTTTGGATCTGTCAGAAAACACATTACTCACAAATGTTTTTTTTTTTTTTTTTTTTTTTTTTTTTTTTTTTTTTTTTTTTTTTACTCACAAATGTTATTTACCTGTTATGATCTCTTCAACAATGTTCATTAATATAGACCAAAATAACCAAGGAAAAATTAGCTAAAATGACATATCTATTTATAAAATAGAGACTAGACTCTCGAAATAGCAAACATGATATCCAAAATACATACTCGTGAAAACTAAATCATAAGATTTGTTTTCGGGATCATGTACCACCATTTGTTGCTTATTTAGATTAGAAGAGAACAATAACTTGCTATTTTTCTTCTTCTTTTCCAAAACTGCTACTGGTGAGACTGCCAAAAAGTGCTCCCCAAACCAAGTAGAAATTTTATTCAGATCTATCCTATACATTTTGTCCCATTTCTTGTTGCATGAATCAAACGACCATATCACTTGGTCAGGCCACTTGTTCTTGGATACGCACTAACAAGAACAGTTTGTCACGGCGATGGTGTCACAATTTGCATTGTCAGAAGGAACTTCAGAGATTACTTGAAAAGTCTGGGTATGAACTAGAGATAGGTTGTCTTTAGCTTCGGTGAACCAATGAAGTGACCCATCTACGTACACAGGATCATGGAAAGCAATGATCCGGTAATGAGAAGAAGGGGTAATATACTTCCAAACGTTGGTGCTAAAGTCAAAATCTTCACATGTATAGTGTTTTCTAGACCTATTTCTTGTGAATTATATAAGCAAACCGTCTTGTATGTGCCGTTGATTTTGTCTTTGCCAAATCCAAGCAAAGGCAATGGAAAGACACTAACATATCCACTAGAAGATTTGTCGAGAGTGGCTTGTTTATACGTAGGTGGAGGAAAACTTCGATGCCATCTATCTAGTGGTGGGATTGACTACACAACCCGATTAATAAAGATTGTAGAAGCATATCAAACCATCACAACTACGGCAAACAACATCAAATGTCTTCTCTAGAGGATTAGGGAGAACGATGCCATACTCAAATTTGTTAATTCTGTCACCATTGATGAAGAGGCCATCGATGCTTATTTATATAAAATAAATAGTTACGTAATAATAATCTCACTATTCGAGTTGAACTAAGAATTGAAAGAAAGGAAACTTCAACACTTTTCTTCTTTTTATTAACTTTTACTTTCACCAAACAAATGTTTTACTACAATTCTTCAAAAAAATCAAAAACTAATGAATCTACGTAAAAATAATAAAAATCATGAATTACAAAAAGTCAAAAGCAGAGTCCAAGTTGTCAAAGGATTGCTTTAAATCTTAACCCAAACAGCTACACTCGGAATTCCACGGTGAACCACGAACATCATATAATACCCAGGCGGTGCCACGTAGGAGTTAGTAGGCCCATCCACGTCAGCTTTATACGCGAAAACAGATAACTGACTCACGCGCCTCACGCGCAGGACCAACAACCTCTGGTTCATCGCCGTCGAGTGAGTGCTGAACGACGGCGCCACGAGCCGCACCGATACTCCTCCGTCGAACATCCCGAATGCCGGAATCGCGAATGTGACGGCAAAAGCCTGACCGTACAACATATTCCCGGCGAGCTCCACCGTGATGATCGTTGGTCTCACCCGCGCGTACTGCGGATCCAGGTAACGCGGGAGATAAGCCTCGAGGCTGAGCTCCGTCGGGTATGGCCTCGCCGTGAAATTGTAATTCCGATGAGGATTACTTCCTCCGACTAAGACTCTTCCGTCGGAAAGAAGGAGAGACGCCGCATGGTACATTCTAGGGATTCGAGTTGGGGTGAGAATTTCGAATCTTCGGGTCGGGTCAGGCTCGTCGGGTAAGTATAAAATCGGGTTGAGAACAGCGTTTGTTGCGTCTTCCCAACCAGCGGTTCCGTTTGCAGCACCGTTGATGATCAAAACGTCACCGTTTGGTAACAGTAACATATCAGACATAACACGTGGCGATGGCATTTGCTCCATAACCCATTTCGGATTCGGGTCGGTCACTTTCAATCTTCCACACGTGCGAGATGCTCCGACGAAGATTTTAGGAATCGTCCTCGCCGCTTTCAAGAACGCTCCCGGCGGAGCACCGCCGCATACCATAACCTCGGCCGTTATCTTAGATCGGTTATAATCCCCGGTGAGAAAAATAGGGAGGAGCACGGAGGAGCCAGTGCTTGGGTAATTCCGTTTATCACCGCCGGGAATCACCGGAAACTCCTTGATGATTCGGTGATTGACGAAATCGAACAGAATCGATCTCCGATTGGCGAAGATGAAGAGGTTTCCGTCGGGGAGAAGATGAAGAAACGGATAAAGATTGTTTTCTTCATTCGGATCTCTCGTCTCCGCCAAGAATCTGAGATTGAAAACAGATTCTCCCGGATTCTTGGGGTAAAACTCGTAGGTGAAAGCTCTTCTTCCGCCGACGATGATAATCCGACCATCGGGAAGAATCTGATTGGTGGAATACCACCGGCGAGAAGAAAGATACGCTCTGTTCTCAACCCAATCACACGAAACGCTTCCAACTCCTCCGTCGCAAGGTGTGAATATCCGTACGGTTCTTTCGCCGGCGCCATAACCGCCGGTTTGGATTAAAGAACCGGAAGCGTTTAAAGAACCGGAGGAGCACCACGTGTCGTATCGTAGTGTAAGTGGACGATAGGTGTTTGAAGCGACGTCGTATAGTATCGAATGAGCAGAGCAGTCAAAAACGGTGGCGTTTTGGCAGGTTTGAGAAGGGAGAGAAACATTCGAAGGGCCATAATCCGTACGGTCAAAGATGACGACTTTGTTGTTGTGTAGAAGCTGCATGTGCATTGCGGATATACCTACACTCGGCTGCAGAAGATCCCACCTCCCGCCGGTGAGAATAGCTAACGGTGAACGTGGAAGGAGCAAATCTGACGTGGAACAGATGAAGAAGAAGAAGAATGATAATACGACGGCGTTTAGGTTCTTCTTGAATCTTTCTTGCTTCATTATTTTCAGCTCAGAATCTTCTTTCTCCGGTGAAGAGATTTAACATTTAAAGCTTCTTTGAGTAATTATTATTGTCTTTCTTGAAATCGGTAGGAGAAGAAACATTTATGGTGTTGTATTGTTTTACTTTTCTGGTGAAATGTGTGATCAAGACTCACAGTGCTCTCTGTACATAATGATCTGGTAGATTGGTAACATATGGGTCAAGATTTATTTATTGCTTTTTGCAATTTGCATATATATGTGGGTGAAATTAGATCTGTATCATTGATCACGGACCATATTCTTAGAGATAACATTTTGGATTTTATATCAATTTTGCGTATGAACAGTTTCGGTCTTTCACAGATCATTCTTTTTTAAAAAAAGAGAGAATCGAATGCACATATAGTTTTGTCTTCTTCAAATTCTATTGGGGGAACAGAGAGTCCCGCCATTAAGTAACTTCTGACCGCATGGGGACAGTTGTAATTACTTGTATGATAATTATTTTCAATAGACCTAGACTTGATATAAGTATAAAGTAAAATAATCCTATGTACGATTAAGCAAAAACAAAAATAGTTACCTCAAGTTTTGAAGGTGCTATTGGATAATTATCTCACTAAAAATAATATTAGATCAAGGCAAAAATAACTTAAAAAATCCCAGAAAAGAAGGATTAAACAAAGACATCCAAAATCTATAATTGGGGTTTAGGAGAAATGACCATACAGATTTAAATCAATGGTTGTCTAATCTCTGTTAATTCTTAATCCTCCATTGGCTCCTCTCATCTCATTCTCTCTCTCCAGGTCTTTGTTATTAAAGCAATCGGTGATACTAATCTTTAATCTTTTAATCCCGGCAGGCCTATCTGAAACCACAACCTCCGCTAGAGGTTTTGCCGGGCAGAATAAAGTTCATCGGCTTTGTTCTCCGCATTTGCAAAATATTTGAAATGGGAGCAGTGTTTTTGAATCTTGGCGGCTACGTTTTCGTTTTCTACTCGTCGTTCTTAGCTATAGTGGCTCCACAGGTTCGAGCCAATGTTGCTGTCTTTGATAGCTACTGGACGCAGCGTCAAAGTGATGCATTGAAACAGACCATGGGATCTTACGATCCTAATCCACTTAACGTCACCAACCATTTTAATTACCATGTCAATATGTGAGTTTTTGTCTTTGTTAGGTCAAATTTTAACCTAACTTCTTAAACAAGTAATCCTAATTAAACAATCTGTTTATTTTGAACAGAGCAGTGGATGCATCGGAATCAAGCAACGATACAAGGAGAGAGCTTACTCAGGTGAGACGTGGTCGTAAAACGCAAAAACACAGCGGAAAATGCCTGGCTTATAACCCGATAGACAAATGCTGGCGATGCGATCGTAACTGGGCGAAAAACAGGAAGAAACTAGCGGATTGTGTGCTCGGATTTGGCCGAAGAACCACCGGAGGTAAAGACGGACCGATCTATGTAGTCAACGACGCGTCTGACAACGATCTTATCAACCCTAAACCAGGAACGTTAAGGCATGCAGTGACTCGAAACGGACCGCTTTGGATCATATTCGCAAGAAGCATGATCATAAAACTGCAACAAGAACTGATGATAACTAGTGACAAAACAATCGATGGAAGAGGAGCTAGAGTTTACATCATGGAAGGTGCTGGATTAACGTTGCAATATGTGAATAATGTGATCATACACAATATTTATGTCAAGCATATTGTTCCTGGGAACGGTGGGTTGATCAGAGACTCTGAGGATCACATAGGGCTTAGGACAAAAAGCGATGGTGATGGAATCAGCTTGTTTGGAGCAACCAATATTTGGATCGATCATGTCTCAATGACAAAATGTGCAGATGGTATGATTGATGCTATTGACGGCTCCACTGCTGTAACTATTTCCAATAGTCATTTCACCGACCACCAAGAGGTAAAACAAAATCCTCTGTTTTTGATCATGTGAAGTTACGTATGAAACAATCAAGACCTCTAGTTTTAAACTATTGTTTTAAATTTTATGAGAGAACAGGTGATGTTGTTTGGGGCGAGGGACGAACACGTGATAGACAAGAAAATGCAGATAACGGTTGCGTTTAACCACTTCGGTAAGAGATTGGAACAGAGAATGCCTCGTTGCAGATATGGAACAATCCATGTGGTGAACAATGACTACACACATTGGGAAATGTATGCAATTGGTGGAAACATGAACCCTACAATTATTAGTCAAGGCAATCGTTTCATTGCTCCTCCTAACGAACAAGCCAAACAGATTACAAAGAGAGAGTACACACCATACACTGAATGGAAATCTTGGAATTGGCAATCAGAAGGAGATTACTTCCTCAACGGAGCTTATTTTGTGCAATCCGGGAAAGCAAATGCGTGGAGCTCTAAACCGAAAAACCCGCTACCGAACAAGTTTGCAATTCGACCAAAACCGGGGACGATGGTCCGGAAACTTACCATGGACGCAGGAGCACTTGGCTGCAAACAGGGTAAAGCTTGCTGATTACATTACCATTTTTTCCCCTTCCAAGAAACAGACAAAGCTTTTGCCCTGTTTTTGCTTGTTGTTCAAGAAAAACAATATGGAGAGAGAGGAGAGAAAACTAAAGAGAATGTTTTTCTATGAATGGTGTTTTGTAACTAAGACTGCATATATAATGCGCAGTTTCGGATTTATTATTCTTAATAGGATCCAGGTTCCTTTTTCTACGGAAAAATGAGAAAAGCAAAATACCTTAGATATCTATATACTAAATATACAATCTCCTCCTAATACTTTCATTAGCTCTCTATCTTGTCTTGTCTCATGTATTTTAGCTGTCTGGACCAAAACCATATCTTGAAGAGTTGCAAATTAACAAACAATAATTGATGGAAGAAGCAAAGATATACAGGATTTACATCAAATATAATCATACTTATTAATAAGGAAACAATTAGATAAAGTTTGTATCTCTTAATTTTGTAGAACACAATTTTTGTTCAAAAGAAATCTAAATCCAAACGTGTAAAATCGTTACATTTGTAACTTTTGGGGCTATTTGTAATGTTTTAAGAACTGAAGCTGTAGAAAACGAATTAACGAAAAGTTATCACTGAGAACTGAGAGAAGAGAAGGAAGCACCTTTTTTCTCCTCCTTCGTAATTCTCAGAGAAGAGAAGGCACTACACTGATAGAGAGGGAACAAACACAAAAGCAATGTCGCAACTCTTATCTTCTCCTCCAATGGCGGTCAACTCCAATCCTCGCTTTCTCTCTTCGTCTTCAGTACTCGTCGCCGGCGGTTTTGCAGTGAAACACCATGGATTCGCCTTGAAACCGACGACGAAGACGGTGAAGCTCTTCTCGGTTAAGTCCCGCCAGACGGATTACTTCGAGAAGCAGAGATTCGGTGACTCTTCTTCTTCTTCTTCTCAAAATGGTAAGCCATCTCAATTGGTTACTTTAGGGTTTTAGCTTTGGAAATTGGAAGCTTGAAAAACCAAAAGGGTCCTCTTTAATTACGAGAAATTCATAACCTGGAAGCTTGAAATCCAAAAAGAGAACTCTTTTTATATCTAGAGATGGAGCTCGTAGGTGATGTTTACTTGTGTTCTTTGTTTCGATTTGATAGCTGAAGGATTGCCTGCTAGATTTTACGTGGGTCATTCAATATACAAAGGGAAAGCTGCGCTAACAGTGGAGCCAAGAGCACCAGAGTTCGTGGCTTTAGACGTATGTCTCTCTCACAAAGATCAAATTGTATAATCATGGTTTGAGTTTCCCATTTGATTTCTCTCTTTTTTTGTGCAGTCTGGAGCTTTCAAGTTGTCGAAAGATGGTTTCCTATTGCTCCAGTTTGCTCCTTCTGCTGGTGTACGACAATATGATTGGAGCAAGAAACAGGTTTGGTTTTATCTCTTAACTTCAGATGATCCATTGTGCTGTATTCTTTAAACTTGGTTAGGACCATCTCACTGGATTTGGTGTTAAAAAGCAGTCTTTTTTTGTATTATGAATTTGTTAAAGCTTCATGTAAAAATTGCAGGTGTTCTCATTGTCTGTTACAGAAATCGGAACTCTAGTTAGCCTAGGCCCGAGGGAATCTTGTGAATTCTTCCATGATCCATTCAAGGGAAAAAGGTAAAAAGCATCATTACTCTAATGATATTGGTTGTGTTCTTTTTATCTTGGTCCTGATCGGTTTGTTTGTTGTATGTAGTGATGAGGGAAAAGTGAGGAAAGTGTTGAAAGTTGAGCCTCTCCCAGATGGTTCTGGTCACTTCTTCAACCTAAGTAAGTATATATAATCTTCTTGATTCTTGTCAAAAAGGTTTAAACATAGTCTCTCTAATGGTAACCAATCTCCGTATATATTAGGTGTTCAAAACAAGCTTGTGAATGTGGATGAGAGCATTTACATACCAATTACTCGAGCAGAGTTTGCTGTTCTTATCTCTGCCTTCAATGTAAGATCATAATATCTCTCATTTTTACATTACCTTCATGAACTTATGAAGAAACATTACTAAACTCCTTTTTTTTTTCCTTTATCGCAAGTTTGTCTTGCCTTACCTTATAGGGTGGCATGCATTTGCAAACTCCATCAAACCAGAAGACACAAACCGTGTGAACAACGCTTCGCCTAACTATGGAGGAGACTATGAATGGAATAGATGATGAATCTTAGGGCCATAATAGGAACATATATCAGAGATCATCCTACCCTTTTTGTTTTGCTGATAGGTTTCTTGAAGATTGATATATGTTCGTAGGTAGCACAAAAGACTTAAAGTAGTGTTATTTTCGTCCTTTTGACCAAATGTGGAAGTGAAAAGCCAGATCATTTTGTGTTTAAGTGGTTGTATCTCAAAACATCAGTCCATTGCTTTGTCTGATCTTAGTTGTTTTTGATTGAAGAGCAAATCTCAATTTGAAATTCTGAGTACAAGCTAGTATGATCCAAATGCCTAGACTTTGAGACGAGGCTTGAAGGTGAGAATTGGTTTGTCTGGAGAGATTGGAGAAACAAGACAGACCACACAAGCCTTCTCTTTAGTAACAACAACATCACTCTACTCATGTGGTTTGGGTCTGATTTTTATTTTTTGTCCGGTTAGCGGTACAATGGTTTATTTTGGTTTATTAGTGCCTCTTATCCTAAGATATAACATAGAAAAATATCTATATTTGGTTACTACATTAAAAATATCCTAAGATTTACACAAACAAAATTACATGTCATCCTTGTATGTTTTCTAACTCTAATATCCCGGGTTAAGTGTTGATTAATTCCGGTTAATGGGTACAGTTCGCCCTAAACGGTTTATGTCCGGTTAGGAGCAACCCACTCGCTCGGTCGTCCAAAGGGCAAAGCAAATCCAACTTTACAGATATGTCAGAGGAGCCAAGTTTCTAGAACATCATCATTCATCACTTATACGTTGTTCCCAAATCATTGAACTTTTTTCCCATTTCTCTCATCGCACGGTGAAATAAATCGAGAATCGCCGACCTGAATCGATCGGGATCTTCTCTGAACACCGGCGGTCAACGCCGCGAACACAGATGTTTGTTTAACGACCTCTTCTCTCCGCGATCTTTACCTCAACAACGAGATCTGTTTCCACGGTACCTTTTTTCATCTGATCTTCTTTTTTCTTCGATGTTTTTTTTGCTGGATCCGTTGATTTTACTTTCATTTGAGCTGTTTCTTATCAATTTTTGTGGCTATTTTGGTGAATTGATGCGATCTTGAGCTGAAGTTTCTTTTGATGTTTGCTTTTAAGCTAGTTAGCTGATATAGGTCGTAGTCTTCTTGGGAAAATTCGAATCTAGTACAAATTTTGCAACTTTAGCAGACCCAAATCGTTGGAAATCAGTATATTTGACCATATTTTGTAGTAATTCCTAGATTCACAGAGGTGTTGAGACCTCAAAATAATGAATATTATGGGTTTTGTTTATTAGAGAAAAGGAGGATGTCGACGCCAGCAAGGAAGAGGTTGATGAGGGATTTCAAGAGGTTGCAGCAAGACCCACCTGCGGGTATTAGTGGTGCTCCACAGGACAACAATATCATGCTCTGGAATGCTGTCATATTTGGGTAATGAAACAAAGGACCTTAGATACTGACTTAATATTTCTGAAACATTTGTCATTTCTCTACTTACTTAGACCTTTTTGTTTCTAAATTGTAGGCCTGATGACACACCATGGGATGGAGGTAGGTTATGTTATGTTATTGCAATTTGGCTAGAAGCATGTATCTTGAATTTTGGGATCGTTGTAGTGGTGTTCTTATGTCTCTTTCTTGATACTGTTAGGTACTTTCAAACTCTCACTGCAGTTCTCTGAAGATTATCCAAATAAACCACCAACAGTTCGGTTTGTGTCACGGATGTTCCATCCAAATAGTAAGTTATAGAGATACAACATTGGCCTTTTTTTCTTGACCTGGTTCATATTTCAGCTTTTGGCTCCAATAAACCTTCGTCTACTCTATCCGATGTGCAGTTTATGCAGATGGGAGTATCTGCTTGGACATTCTACAAAACCAGTGGAGTCCAATATATGATGTTGCTGCTATACTTACCTCCATCCAGGTAAATTCAAAATGTCAATGCCCTTAAAAGCTCGAAATTACTTTCTTCTTCTCTAATCCGTTTTGCCCTTTGTTATTGCAGTCCTTGCTCTGTGACCCTAATCCGAATTCTCCTGCAAACTCGGAAGCTGCTCGGATGTACAGCGAAAGCAAGCGCGAGTACAACAGAAGAGTGCGTGATGTTGTTGAGCAAAGCTGGACTGCTGACTAGTAGTAGTTTGATGTAAGCGTTGTAGCTCTGTCTCCTTTCTCTCAATCACGATTCAGCAAAACAGCTTTCTTCTCTTTTCATTCATGTCTTGTGTGTCCGAAACTATTTAAGTGATTCAATGCTTTGATGGTTGGTTCTATGTAACTCAACATCCTTTTAAAAAACAACTTTGTACCAAACCAACTGAATTATTCACTTTTGTGTATATATGTATTACGATTTTCTTGCTAGGTACCAAAAAAACCTTTGTAACCAATTCCAAAATGTTGTGGTATTCTATTTTTAAGGATTTGTGGCCTTCTCCTTACCCACTCATTGCCTATACAATTGCATTGCTTTCTTTGAGACGACTTTTACACCAAAATCTGAAGCTTCACATGAGACTCGTAAGTACCACAAGTATTAGTAGGTCCAACTTAATGTATTCTCATATGGGTTTGAATTTGACATTGATCAGTTTCTCTATTTCCTTAAAGGATGATGATTTTATATTCCTATTTTACATTTCTGAACCACCAATCCCAAGGTTCCCACTGCTTGTCCATCCTTGCTGCACTTGAATTGTATACTGCAGATTCCATACAACATCCTCTATCGATGGCCGATTCCTCTGATCTTCACAAAGACAGTTAATGGCAAACTCTACTGTGGTTCTCAATGACTCGTATGCATATGTTCCCCTCACACAAGGATCTGCCAAGCTACGCAACACCGATGGTTCGTCTCTCAAACTGTTCTCCAGCTGAAGCTTCAAGCTCCCCAACTCCGAAGATGCAGCCGCCAATACTTTGCCTGTGATGATCTGAAGTAGTATCACTCCAAACTGGTACACATCTTCTTTCTCTCCATCTTCATTACTAGGGCTCTCCGCTCCAACCTGATATTACCCCCAGAAGATTATATTTTTCATGAGAGGTTAAATTAATAATTAGAACTTAGAAGCTATCTCTTGGTTATATCTGGTTTGTTTATATACCTTGGATGGTAAAGGAATAGTATAACCACTGAGTTTTACAGTGAGTGTTTCATCAAGTAAAACATTCTCTATCTCCAAATTATTCCCAAAGATTCCTGGTGCCACTCCTGTGTGCAAGAACTGAATTCCTCGAGCAACTCCAATCGCTATTGACATTCTCTGAGGCCATTTTAACACCTCTTTCTTTCTCCAATCTGCCAAAAACATTTCCAAACAATTAGTTTCCCAACAAAAAAACTCTTTAAATTGAAAATGCTTTTCAGATATTACCGGTGAGGTAATCCCTCAAAGACCCGTTAGAGATGTATTCTTGGACTATGAATATGGTGCTTCCGGCATATGGATGATGGTCTTGATAAGTACCAATGCAGTGTCCAAGAACACTGACTAAATGCATATGCCTTAGCTTTGATAAAACTTCCATTTGTTGAGCCAAATTTTGTGTTGAATTCTTCTGTTTCAGCTTAATACACCTCACTGTCACTGTTATGCCTTCTCTAAGGCAACCTTTGTACAGCTGTTTTGAAATTAGATATATCGATTAATTCGAATCTCATATCGAGTTTAAATCATGTTTTCTTTACTTTTTTCTTTACCTGATCTCCACAGAGATTCGCTGCATCAAAATTGTTGGTGGCTTCTTCCAGTTCCTCCAAAGAGAAAACTCGGTATGGTGATAGTCCAATCACCGCAGATCTCATGGTTTGCGGTACGCGTCCTGCATTTTAATTACTTACGCTCGTAAGGTAATGGATATGAAAACTTAATTCAAGATTTCAAAGTAATAGCCTTTTATTACTTGGATCTGGTACTGTCTTTGATGTGGTGGACCTGGTTGTGTTGCTGCTAACAGAGACCTGATTGACGTTGTTTGCTTCAAAAGGCTCTTCTTTTGATGTTGATTTTCTCATCCTAACCAAAACCAAGCCAGCTAAAACCGCTGAAACGAGGATCACACCGATGATAATGCCAATCACCAATCCAAGTTCGATTCCTCTATCTTCTTCTTTCCTTTCTTGATCTTTCGTGTCAGACTTCACAGCAGCTACTGCTTGCTTTGCTTCGTTTTCACAGAAGGTAACTGGACGCTGATACTTAGCAGAAGGAGAACCATTTATAGACAAGCAATTGAATGTGAAGAGCACTGTCTGTTTCTTGGAAGAGAAGCAAGATGGAAGCTTCCCAGTCAGAAGATTCCGAGAAACATCTAAAATTCTAAGCCTGGAGCTGCACAACGATGAATTTGGAAGTGATCCACTCAGCAAGTTTTGTGCTAAACTTAGATTCTGAAGCGAATGAAGCGAAAACAGGACTTTTGGGATTGACCCAGTGAACTTGTTGGAGGAAAGATCCAAGTTTTGAAGCTTACTCAGCTTCTTGATCTGTTCTGGAATCTTGGATCCAAATGAGTTGTTCTTCAATGAAACGGTGATCAAGTTACTTGCAAGTGAAGGAACAACTTCAGGACCGAGTTTATTACCGCCTAAATTCAGCTCTTGGAGATTCGACAATCCTCTGAGATCAGGAACACTTCCATTGAACATATTGTTCGCCAGAACAAGACTTCTCAGGTTCTTCAACGACGAGATCTCTTTAGGAATTTCCCCAGAGATGAAATTAGAACTGAGATTCAGAGATTGAATAGATGAAGATAACCTGATGATCTTTGTAGGGAGAGGACCAGAGATGCCGAGAGAGACCAGAGACAATGTCTTTAAGTTTGAGAGTTTTGTAAGAACAGTGAAGAGTGAGTCGCTGGAGAATCTTCCGGGGAGTTTAATGGTTCTGTTTCCGGTGACGGTTAATTCGGTTACATGACCATTGAAACAGAGGATTTTGAAAGAAGGAGAAGAAGGAAGGTAGCAGAAATTGGTCCAGTTACTCCATGATCGAAGAATTGGTGGATATTGTAACTGCTTTTGGATTTCTAATAGAGTTCTTGATTCACTTGATATAAGCTGTGATTCTGAGAGTGATGGCAGAAGAAGAAGAAGAAGGAGAAGAACAGTAAGATAAAAGGCCTGGCTTTTAGAGGAACTCTGCATTCTCTCAGGAAAAATTACAGAGAAAGAAAGAAAGTAAGATTTAGATGTTTGTGGCTAAAGGAAACACAAGGTAATCTGTTATTATATCTGAGATTAGTGTTATTTGATTAGTACTAGTTTTTAAAAAATGGTGTTTTGTACATAAATTCTTGAGATATTTTAGATCAGAAGGAGATTTTCTCGGGAAATTGGGAGAGAGAGAGAAATAAAACAATGTTTTTGGGACAGAGCAAGAAAGAAGAAACAGAGTTTTTTAAGTGGAGAGAAGCCTGTAATGCTGAGAAGAAGACAATAAATACAAATTTTGTTTAATTTTTTAAAGTTTATCTTTTGTTCGTAAGTTTCACATTGACACTTTGACAGACTGTTTTACTGCTTCGAAGAAAGTGAATGAATTAAAAAATAAAAATAAAATGAGATTAGATCCTTAAAATACGTAAAATCCACATGAAATATCTGACTATTTATCAACTTTTTGATCCAAAATTTCCACAATTAGAGTTATTTATTTCCTTCAACTTGTTATTAACTAATTTCTCTGTAATGGTCAGACCTTTCTTTATTACTCCTAACATGCATTTATTGGATTCATAATAGATGCATATATACTTGTATATACACACACATACATACATGTTTTGACGAATAAATGTTTTGTAGTTGTACTTCTCTCGAAATCCGTTGATCTCTTCCCCAATGTAATTTCTTTCATCTTTACCATCTTTATAGAAAATATAAATGATAAACTCATCTTTACGAATAAATGTTTGCATTAACACTTTAACTAATTTTATTTTAATACTTGTAAAAAAATACTCAAAAACATATTCTTATATAGCGACCAGAGTAGTATGTAGTAAAAGTCAACCAGTGAACGAGTTTTTTACAGTTGACCACTAAATCCTCACACGCGGGTCGAAGAAGTCACGTGGTAAAATTTCGTCAACGTGTTATTGATCAGATCGTGCCGTTGAGGATCATCCAAAGCCACCGTCGCAAGGAAAATCTAACGCCGTTCGCTGGATTAAAACTACAAAATAAAGAATTACATGTCCTATAACCAAATCTTTTTCTCGAATTTCACTTAAACCACTTACTATTATTTAATTGAAACCACAAGGACATCAAAAACTCATCTCTACTATATACAGTAATAAACCAACAAATAATATAAATCGTACTTCTTTTTTTTGTGGTCATCAATCAATATCAAACTAATATACTAATACTACCAATTAATTTGGCCATGATATTTTCTAGTCATTTCATCGCTATTATTGATTATAGTTGTTTAGTTATTTGTCGGTGAGAAATGAATGTCATTTTGTTTTCGTGTGTTTAGAAAGTGTTGAGAACTTGAGATTCTAACAAATGTTCCGCTGTTTTTCTTTTGCTGAGATGAACTGTCCATTACTTTCTCGTTTGTTCTTTTATTCTTTTTACATCTCTCATTGTCCTCTACTTCTTTTTAAGTGGCCTGACTTGCGATCCTAATAAAAAGAAGTCTGGTTCTATACAATAATACAATTTTTAACAAAAACCAAAAAAGTTTGGTTTTATAAAAGGAATTATAGAACCATCACCAACACCAACCAAACAGCAAATTTTCATCCCAAAACAAGAGACAAAGTTTGAAGTTCACAATTCAAGGGTTTATCAGAGAAGCACTCAAGACATAACAAAGCTAATGATGAGACTGCAAAACCAATATTTTGTCACAGTTTCCAAGTAATCATCGTGATTGAAAATTTACTAGTAGTATTTTCTATAAGGAAAGGGGAGATCAAATGCGAGTTAGCAAGCACATCACATGCAACTGCCTTGTAATAAGCGACACTGCCAAAGTATCAATTAATATTATACAACATGCATTTCTTTTTCATTTTTTGTTTCTGTTTTATTATTAAAAATCTCTTTCCAAATAAACCTAGTAAATTTTATTTTTGGGCTTGTAGGCTTGTTAAAGATTAAAGTTTAAACCCCTATATGTATCTGACTAATTTTTGGCCCAAAATATGCATCTTTAGGTCCACATACTTAGGCATGTTCAAATTAAAATCACCCAAATTATATAGCAGATAATCAATTATTTCAAAACTATATTATATTCAACAATTACACTGTATTTTAGTAGTCAAATAAAATTTATTAAGTTAAAGTCATCCACAAAAAAAAATAAAAAAAAATCAAACGTTTTAAGATATACATTTCTTAAAGCCAGGACTCAATTTCTAATAGAATCAAATTTAAACTTTATTTATAGTGATATTAAATCATGTTTCTTTTACATTCGTTTATCAAACGTAAGAAAATATCTAGTAAGAATACAATACATTCCTATCATGAGCTGGTTAGTGGTTACGATTTAAATAATTGATTAGATGTTTGGATAATTGGATTTAGCGAACTAACCACTTGGATGATGACACCGATAATTCTTGATTATCATTAGTATATTTTAGAGAAAAAAAGTCATCAATGTCATGATCATGATCCAAGAAAAAGGAGGGTATTTCTGTAAATAAGCTCCATTGACTCCTTTAATTGGGCCCAGAAAGGCCTAGTTTTAAGACTTTGCCAACAAATCATCCCAAACGACGTCGCTTTGAACCGAAATTTCTTTTGTCTATTCCTTAATTAATGTTTTCTAATTAAATTAATTAATTAAATGTTTGTATATCTGTCATCTTCTTCTTTCGCTATCAGTGGAACCGTTGGGAAGAAGACTATATTGTTCACTGTGAGCTACTACTATGCTTTTTAAGCCTTTTAGGTCATTGCTCTTGTTAAAGGACAACATTCGAAGAACAACCATTGTAAGTTTGGTACTACTACTGATCAATTCAATTCTCTGAGGTTGACGTTTTTAATTTCTTTTACACCATTTTTTTGCTAAAATTGTCTGCTTTTGATTTGTACCCAGATCTGATTATTTCGCTCTTTCTCATTACTTTTAATCTCTGATCGTTGATTTTCTCTTTTTAGTCTTCCTCAGCTCTGAATTTGTTCGAAAGATTTGATTTTTATAGGTTTGGCTCAATTTATAGGTTTTTTGGATATTGTTTATTTGCTGGATCTTTAAGATCTCTGCTTTTGTTTACATCTTTTAATGCATCTGTTTTAATCTTTGATTCATGCTTCTTGATGTTGTTATATCAGTGAGCCATTGGCTTTAGCTGATGGATTGTGGTAGTACTGTGTGTTCCTTTTAAATAGATTTCAGCTGCAACTCCTTCATGTTCATTGGCTTTGGTGCTGTAAATTTGCTGTGTTAAACGTGAAATTTCACAAATTTAGTTTCTTTCTTTTTCCTTGGGAATTTCACAGAATTGGCTTGTGTTTTTGTTTGTGAAAATTCACAGACTTGGCTTGTTCTTCTGCAGGTTTTCTACGTTTAGCAACTTACTATTTTCAGACTCCATCTTGCTCTGTTAAGAATGGGAAAGACTCCTGGTAAATGGATCAAGACTTTGCTTCTCGGGAAGAAGTCCCCCAAGTCGAATCCGGAAAACCGAAGCCAGAAACTGGTAAGAGTTTGGGACTCCCTAACTCATCCTTAAATTAAATGAGGATTATTCTAACTGTAATGTTGGTCATATTGTATGTACCAAGAAATCTGCTAAGAAAGAAGAGCTGGTGGCATCGGTGACAGAAGATTTTTCAAACTTAACTGTTGATCCTCCAGTGGTTTCATCACAACCAGTTCCAGCTTCTACTGCTCAAAATTTGGTTTCTCCAGTCAATGGGGATGAACTTAAGGATACTCTCGAGTCAAGGAATGACTTGGGAGAACTCGAGCTTGAACAAGCTGCAATCAAGGTTCAAGCTACCTTCAGAGCTCATCAGGTACTTATTCTTTGCCATGATATAGATAAATCTACGTGAATGGAGTTGATAGTGATGATCCTGTTTTTTTCTTTCAAATCTACTGAAGGCACGTAGAGCATTTAGAACTCTTAAAGGTATCATCAGGCTGCAGGCAGTTATCCGTGGTCACTTGGTGAGAAGACAAGCCATTGCTACATATTCATGTATATGGGGAATTGTGAAGTTTCAGGCTCTTGTTCGTGGCCAGAAAGCTAGATCTTCAGATAATGGGATTATATTTCAGAAAACACATATGGTAGAGACTCTTTATCACGCCTTCATTACATAGTTGGCTGATTTTGTAGCTATTTCATGTTTTTAATCAAGCTGCAATTTTCTTTCTTCTATTAGGAAGCAAGTGATTCAGAAGCTTTGCAATTGAGCAGCACGTGTAGTTGGATGGATAATCCCACAAAGTTCGTCCTTGTTGATAAGGTATCTTTAACTTATGTTTCATGGTTCATGGTTCCGGATTCACGAATCTTGCAACACAACGTTGGCTTTTCTGGCTTGTAACTTATTTGTTTCTCTGGCTTTTCAGCTTCTAGCTTCTTCACCAACTGCATTGCCTCTGAAGATCCAATATGGTTCTGAGGAACCTAACTCAGCCAACGTTTGGCTTGAACGCTGGACACAATTACAAGTTTGGTCTTCTGGTTCACGAGTACCTAGGATTGAGATTCCAAAATCTCAGTCAAAGAAGCGAAACTATCAAGCTGTGGTTGAAGCAGAAAAGACAAGGCCAAAGCGAGGTATCAAGAAACCATCCGGCACAACTAGTGGAACTGGCTCTAGCCGTTTTACAGCTGAAAGTAGTAAACCAAAACGAAATGTGAGGAAGGCTTCCACGCTTCGTAAAGATCCCCTGAGAAATGAGAGTGACAAAGCAAAGCACAAGTCGAGAAAAAGTAGAAGCGGCTTAAAGGAGGGGTCTCCTTTGGAGATTAAAGATGAGAAGCCCAGTCCTAGTTTCAGAAGGTCTTCTCTTTCAAACGGGTCAAAGAAAGCCACCCTTAGATCTGCTGAGAAGAAGAAGAAAGAAATTGCAGATTCTGTGCAGATAGAGCCTGAAGGGAAAGTTTCAGAGAATGTTCTTGAAGGAGGAGACAGTATTGAGTTTGCTGAAAAGAAGAAAGATACTGCAGATTCTGTGCAGATAGAGCCTGAAGGGAAAGTTTCAGAGAATGTTCTTGAAGTAGGAGACAGTACTGAGTTTGCTGAAAAGGAGGAAGATACTGCAGATTCCGTGCAGACAGAGCCTGAAGGGAAGGTTCTTGAAGGAGACAATATCGAGTCTTCTGGAAAAGAAAAAGATACTGCAGATTCTGTGCTGATAGAGTCTGAAGGAAAGGTTCTTGAAGGAGGAGACAATATTGAGTTTGGTGAAAAAGAGGAAGATACTGCTGATGCAGTTCCCATCGATTTTGATGTAGTAAAAGATGGGAAGTCACCAGTTTTGGTTAGACCGGAGGAAGATGAACCCAAAACTGCAGAGACCAGTGACAAAGGCGAAGAACTTAAATGCTCCGATGTGAAGGTAAGCTCTGAGAATGGTAATGTTGGTTCTGATAACACAAAGTCAAGTGAAAGACGATCGTTGCTGCCAGCAAATATTGAAAATCAAGATGATGGGCTTACACATAGCGTACGGAAAATCCCCAGCTACATGGCCCCGACTGCATCTGCAAAGGCCAGAGTCAAAGGAGAAGCCTCTCCGAGGTTGGCCCAAGTGAAGACTGAGATAAACGGGGCATTGCGGCGCCATTCGCTGCCTTCTCCAGCCAATGGTAAGCTGAGTACTACTATGTCTCCAAGGGCTCACAAACTTCTCCTAGCCTCAGCCAAAGGATCTATGAATGGCGACAAATCTTTTACTTCTTCCAAAGACATAAGTCGTAAGCAAGACTCAGATTTACAGAATTCTTTTAAAAGGTTTTAAGCTTTACTCAGATCAATAACCTTTTTAACCCATTTTTTTCTTGATTCTTTCAGACAAGTCAACCAGAACCGACTGGAAACGGTGAAGGCTCAGGCAAAAGAGAGTGTCATCTTATCATCTTACATGGTCGAATTCAGTTACTTAGTGTGTTTCCTCTGCGTTTTGGTTTTGTTTGGTGAGTTTAGAGAGTGTTTGGTCAGTGTTCATGTTTATAACATCCTTTTCATATGTTGCTTCAGTTTACTCTGATATGTTTAAAGACACAAAAAGGTTTAAGTAAATAGTTCATCTCTGTACAAACCTTTGCATTCACTCCTCTCCGATTACACAGACAAACCTGCATTTTACATATAGTACATATACAAGCATAAAGCAAGATCTATTTTCTTAAGTGTGTTTCATCTTACACGAGGAGATTGAGTGTAAGAAGGTAAAGGCGATGCACCAGGAGTTATGTGCAGCAGAGGCCGATCATGACTATATCTTACCGGAGATTTCTGCATAACAGAGGAATGATGAAATCTTGGAGATTCCATTTGGGTGTGTTTGGTTCCAGGTTTAGCAACGGATTCTAGCTGTTCTAATGTGACTAAAACTTCTGACATTTTCGGCCTGAGTTTTGCATCGGGATTTAAGCATTGCAATGCAAGATTAGCAGCTGTGAAAGCTCCTTTTTGTGGATATTGACCCTCTAGTTTCGTGTCCATTATCCGAAAAAGCTTTCGCTTATCGCCAAGGTACGGTGTTGCCCAGTCCACAAGACTATATTCGTTTCCCCCATTTGATTTGTCCATGGCACGCCGTCCTGATATCAATTCTAGTAGTACGACCCCAAAGCTGTACACATCACTCTTTGCGGTTAATCTACCTGTAGTGGATGAAGATAAGCTTTCAGAAAGTATCAAAGAAACAAAAACAATCAAAAGGTCAAAGATTTTTGGTTAATGTCAAAGCTATTGATGAGTTCTTGGAGAAAGAAAAAGCGTTTCAAGATTAATAAGTCAAAGCTTTTGAAAGTTTGAAACATTCTTGGAAAAAGCTTATGAAATGTTCTTACACAGAAACTGATAAAACCTTACTGAATGTAAGTTTATAGAACAAACCTGTGGCAACATATTCAGGTGCAGCATATCCATGAGTACCAATGACCTTTGTTGACACATGTGTATTATCACCAGTAGGACCGGCTTTTGCCAATCCGAAATCCGAAAGCTTAGCATTGAAATCCTGCATTTAGACACAATTTCAGACAGTTAGAATCAGAAGTGAATACCGAATGTGGTTATAGAGAGTTTCTGCTCGGGTTTCTTACAGCGTCGAGTAGAATGTTAGCAGCTTTAAAGTCTCTGTATATCACTTGTGCCTTTGCTTCATGAAGAAAAGTTAGCCCTTTAGCTGCACCTACTGCCACTTTCATCCTTATCGCCCATGTAAGTGGTTGCGCACCACCTGCAAGAAACATTGACCCGATGATTATAAAAAAGCCGAAAAACGAAGAAACACGTAAGCTTCATCTTGAATTCAAGATTGTTGAATTGCAGAAAACTTACGTCTAAAAAGATGATTCTCCAAGCTTCCTTTTGGCATGAATTCATATACAAGAAGCCGGTCTTCGCCTTCCGCGCAATATCCAATTAGTAATACAAGATTTGGGTGACTAAGTTGACCAAGATAGTTTACTTCAGTCTGAAAAAAACAAAACAATATCTAAATGTATGCAAAACACAATCATCAATGGAACCGAAAAAGGGCGAAAAACCGCACTTACCAACCACTCTTTATGACCTTGAAACCCTTCAGGCTTAAGCTGCTTAACAGCAACAACTATTCCAGAACCAGGGCGTGAGGCAGTGAGAGATGTTTGATCAATCCATCCTTTGAATACACAACCGAAACCTCCTTCGCCTAGTAGATTATCTTGACGAAAGTTCTTAGTTGCGTTCTTGAGCTCGTTGAAAGTGAAAGCTTTTAAGTTTGGCGATGAAAGTATCTCTCCTTCTGTCCTAAGCGTTGGTAATGGTCCTAAACTACTATCTGTGCTGTAAGAAGTTGTGCTTAATCCTGAAGGAACCGTTGAACGGCTTGTCTTGCTCGAAACTCTCGAGGCCGAAGAAGCTATAAAAAGATCGACCAAACATATGAAATTAAATCTCATTAGTTTGGTGTGTTTTCAATCAACTCAAGATGCTAAGAACATTAATACAGATATAAGCATCGAATCAAACACAAGTACTAAACAGAGAGCAATTCGAAAGGTTTATACTTTTGATGACCCAGAGGTGAAAAAATAACTTAAAGAAGAAGTATCCAAGAAACTATAACATAGAACCCAAATTAAGCAATAAAGACTTGAGAGAAAATAGTTACCAGAATTAGCATGTGGGCTATGGTTGCTATTATCCACTTTAGCTGATGAACCTAAACAATTACCCATTTCAAATAATAAATTACCCAATATGGAGAGACCAAGCTAGTTTAAATTCTCAGCTGAGAGACAAAGCTATCGTTCTCGTGGAACAACGAAACAGATGATCAAGACAAGAACAAGCCTCGAAGAAGCCAACACAACAAGTTTCTTCTTCTTTCTCTTCTATCCTTTAGACGTAACGGTGGCTCAATGTCTGCTTAGCTTGATATGAACGCTAATAGAATAAAAGTATTCCAACATGAAAGGAAAATCTATAAAAAAAATAGAAGGAGAGAAGAAGGAACAAGGAAGGTGAAGAACAGAGGATTTGAAGCAAATAATATACAAAGTCGTCGTGTCCTTTCTGTTTTGTATTCAAACTCATAATAATAATTTCTTTAAATGACCAAGAATGCCCTTGAGTTGGGTTCCTTTAGTCAGCCATTGGAAAGGAGAATTTTAGTAATTTGAGATAGATGCGGTAACGTCATGCTCACGGCAGTAAATCCACGTGGGGTAATAAATTGTACGACAACTTTTCAGAGTAATTCGTTCACTAATCGAGTGATAATTAGTTAATTACTAGGACTAGGAGGATGGTGGTGGCCAAAAAAGTCGTGTTCACATCTGTTTTCATTTTTCAAATTTGATAATATCTCAGTCAACGAAATTTTCCAAATTCTTGAGATAAAAATTATTTCAAAAATTAACCAAAAATTATTGGTTCCGTTTTTATTATAAAGTTAATACTACTACACACGTTTGAGACATGACTTTAAACTTGTCATTTTATTTTTTCTATCCTATTTCCGTTTCAAAGTTCAAACTTCAAACAATGAAACAAGACTTGCTATAAAATATTTGTTTCTGTTCCATTTTTTCAATGTTTCTTTAAAATTCTTGATTTCCCATCTCTATCTTTTAAATGTTTTAGGGAATTGTTTTAGATGGCTCAAGGGTTTTTTTTTTGTTTAATGTTAATGGCTCAAGTTATAACTCATGGTTGACTTATAAAAATTAAATTCATACATGAAATAGCTTATTATTCTGTAGAATAGTTTTTGTTAATCTGAAAGTTACAAGTTATTATGGAATCAAAAGAAGAAGAAAGATATATAAAGGAAGTTGTGGTTTTTGTTTGTTGTATTTTTCAACCAATTATGGTCTTGGTTGACGTCTGTTAAGGGACAACAAGTGGTGGGTCTGGATCGCCCATTTCGTTGAAACTTTGATGGCTATTTTACAATAACACTTAATATCGTTTCAGTCACAATTATTAGTGAGATTCCCCTTCAATCAAGATGTTAAAGTCTTTCCAACTTTTCTTTGGATTAAATCACCATTGATGTTATGTTTTAGAAACTTCTACGTGCAGTTCCAAACTATGAGATATCAAAACTGTAGAATAAAATTTGGTATTGACGATTTTATCTTTCTGGGAGGTATTGGATTTACTATTAGATTATTGTGCATATGGCATGCATGCATTAGATAAAATATAATTTATAGTCAATGGATGAATCAGTATATAGGTGTATATCTCTTTGTTGATAACAGGAGATCAAGATTTAAAGGACTCTAAATTAGTTACGAATTATGTATTGTGGAATTTTTCGCATTCTAGTTGGACCAAAAGAATAATAAAGTATGAGATTCAACTCTTAAATACTAGTATTTTTGTAAAATTAAGTTTTGAGTCTAGAGAAAACGTTAAACCGTCATAATTTATCAAACCATATCATAGATTTAGACGACGGTAATCATCATTTAGATTTGAATTTTAATGGAGAGTGGTGGATAACGTCGAAGACATTTTTGGTGTATTTCTTAAATATATATCCCATGCATTGACTCGATCTATCGACATTCACAATTTCACATTGTTGTTGACCGGCATATCGAAAGAGAGTTATTTTTCTTCTGCATATCGCATATCATTAGGTCACGTGTGGACCTAAACCCCATTTGGCATCTTTTCATAATCGCTCAAAAGGAGGAACCTTATGATATTATATATTTGCTTTATTATCCATTTTATATGTTATCTCAAGTGACTTGTACCCGGTAATAATCAGTACTCTTTTGACTCTTCAAATTAAAATGTATAATTGGTTTTCCCAAAGCATTGTGGAATATCATATAAATTCATTTCACCCATGTATGACTTCTATTTTCATTACGATTTAGTATAATATTATTCATAGTATACAGAAAATTAGTAAATTACTCAAAACACAATGAACTATGCATGAGTGCGTGTAATATCTTATTTTAATATTCGATATTTCAAAAACAAATTAGCTATGTTGAAAAAAAGTTGTATCACCTTTGACCAAAAAAGAGGTCCAAAAGGCCTATACAAAGGCCCAAGCTATAAAAAGAACATCCGTATATAAGTTCTAGTTCTAAGCCCAAAATAAAACGGCACGTAGTTCACGTTTCTATCTCAGACATGGATAGCAGTGCATGTGACTTGGAATTCCAGCAACTAATCCACGTATCTTAGCCAATCAAAAATGCCATGTCAGATTATCTAACCAATGATACAAGTACACGTGGAACATCTACGTCTTTCTCGCGCCTCCGACACTCTAATAACTTTCGTTTCCACTTCAGATCGATCTCATAATTTGATCGCAAAACTAATCGAATAAACGTAAAATTGAAATTCAAATTGTCGCCGGAGTCCCACCGGAGAAATTAACAAGCGTCGTGCGGCGATGGAAGCTCACGGTTCCGGTCTCCGGCGAGTTCTGTTATTGTCGTTCTGTGTCGCCGGGATCTGGGCCGCTTACATTTACCAAGGCGTTCTTCAAGAGACCCTGTTAGTAAAAATTCTTAGGGTCGAATCGATCAATCTTGTTTTATCTCGTTGATTAGTTCTCTCGCCATTGCTCGATTATGTTTGTACAAGATTGTTACTATTCTTGGAATGATGATGCGTTTGCAATTCAATTCTGTTATTGGAATTTGTAGAAATGTAGCTTATGGAACTCATTTTTTGTAATTAGGTCGACGAAGAAATTTGGTGAAGATGGGAAGAGATTCGAGCATCTTGCATTTCTGAATTTGGCTCAGAATGTTATCTGCTTGGTTTGGTCTTACATAAGTGAGCATTTGAAATATTCTTCCTTGTTTATTCCTATAACAGAAGAATAAATGAAGCTGAAGTATTTTTGTTTGATAATGAGCAGTGATTAAGCTCTGGTCCAATGGAGGTTCTGGTGGAGCCCCATGGTGGACGTATTGGAGTGCTGGCATTACTAATACAATTGGTCCTGCCATGGGCATTGAAGCTTTGAAGTACATTAGTTACCCAGCTCAGGTAAATTAGGCATCTTAAGGCATTAGTAGTGTAATAAAAACATCATCTGTTTTGAACCTTTCTTAGGAAATATTATTGATGCAAAACTTGCTTATTGCAGGTCCTTGCAAAATCTTCCAAAATGATTCCAGGTTAGGTGTCAATTTAGAGCGTCAACCCATGATCGCTCTCAAACCATTGCTATGTGTGTCTTATATCTGTTTTTTCTTTCATGTAGTTATGCTGATGGGCTCCTTAGTTTATGGCATAAGATACACTTTACCTGAGTATCTTTGCACCTTTCTTGTTGCGGGAGGTGTATCTATGTTTGCCCTTCTTAAGGTAAGCAGAACCGCATTCAGGAACTTTGATCATAACATTTGTTATACTTTGTTTGTGGAAATGTAGTAAACCGTCTTTGACTTGGTTTTCAGACAAGCTCTAAAACCATCAGCAAGCTAGCACATCCCAATGCACCCCTTGGATATGGGCTTTGTTTCTTGAACCTCGCCTTTGACGGATTCACAAACGCCACCCAGGATTCCATTACCGCTAGGTATGATTCTTGACGTTCTGTTAGAAACTTAACTCACTCAGAACATCTGCAACATGGTCTACATGCTGGACATTAATCATCGCTATACATGGATACAGGTACCCCAAAACAAACGCATGGGACATAATGCTGGGAATGAATCTATGGGGAACCATATACAACATGGTCTACATGTTTGGATTGCCACATGGGAGTGGATTCGAAGCTGTGCAGTTCTGCAAGACTCACCCTGAGGCAGCATGGGACATTCTAATGTACTGTTTATGCGGTGCAGTGGGCCAAAACTTCATCTTCTTGACAATAAGCAGATTCGGTTCTCTAGCTAACACGACCATAACCACAACCCGTAAGTTTGTAAGCATCGTGGTATCTTCAGTTCTGAGCGGGAATCCATTATCGTCCAAACAATGGGGATGTGTGTCGATGGTGTTCGGTGGATTGTCTTACCAAATATACCTGAAATGGAGGAAGCTGCAGAGAATGCAGAAGAAGAAAAAGGCTTGAAGCTGAGATTGGGGATCAAATATTTAATTCTTCAAGAAATTGTTTTTGATTTGGAAACTTTTTACTTCAAAAGATGGTCTGAAAGTTAGAGAGAAGAAAGCTTAGTCACATTAGCAAAATGTAAACTAATGCATTAGAAGAAACTTATATATATCAAACCAAAATCAAATCATATATTTCCACTCATATATATGTCTTTACAATACAATATCCTAGGAGGAAACAAGATCTAAGTTCTATTGTGTTCGTTTTCAGACAAACACAGGTAAAACTCTTCCCTCGTCTGAGTTTTTTTTTTATCCTAAGTTACACTCTGAAAACTTCTTTATATATATGTGATAGAGATTCTGTACAGAGATGATGAAAACAAATCAAGAAATTCAGGGGAAAATGCTCAGATGATGTATCTGAGTAAAGCCCTTAGAGACAAACCAAAGAATTTTTTCTTAAGACACACTGGTGCCTTCTTTTGTAGATGGCTTCCTTATGTTAAGTAAGAAAAGAAAGAGAAATCTGAATCTGAGTATATGGCAGATTCTTGAGTGCTTTCTTTGACGGGGCTAGAAATGTTACCGTTAACATTCTAGGATCAAGAAAGAAACTTAAAAAACCTTGAGGGAGGAATGCAGATCATGGCATGCCCGCTTCACAAAAACTTCCAGGCCGATATATATGGCTGCAAAACCTAAATTGAAATCTAAGCAAAAGTGGGAAAAAATTACGTCTCCATGGAGACAAAACCGCGGTTTAGGACTTTTGGGTCTGAGAGAGATGGTTGGTTGGTTTACAAGCTATGGAGAAGGACTCTTTTGCAAGGGGGTGGTTTTGAAGGATTAGCACTTGGACATGGAGATGAGGACTCAATCCCGAGTGTTTTCAACAGGAAGCTCCTCTCCTGCAAAAGCAATCAGTCTTTTAAGACTCAATGTTTGATCAAAGCCTAAGTAGTGTATGATGAACATGAATGCTAAGAAGGTGCAGAGCTTACACTTTCAGAGAACTGTGGACTTGGGATACCGTCTGCCAAAGATCTGAACAATGGCGTGACCTGAATAGGCGAGCTGAACTTTTCTTCTCCCGAGATGGGCATATTTTCATCAGGATTTTTCGGGACGAGCAACTCCTCTCCAACTTGCTTATGTTCTATCTGAGTATCAGCGGAGAATAGTTGTGTTCTGTCACTAGACTGATCCAGCATGATGGTTGATCCTGAGCTATACTCAGAGCTAGCTGGTGAGTCATGGAGATCAGGTTGCCTAAAGGACATCAAATGAAAAGGTTAGACAATCAAAACCTTAAGATGAACACAAAAGTTATGTGTTGACTGAAAGCTTTTTCCACCTCCAAGATGGCTGATTGTCTTCATAACCACTCCTCAAATCCTCTATAAGGTCCTTAAATTCCTCGATTTTAAAATCGATATCAGGTATTCCGTATCTGAATAAATCATTCTCCTTGCCTTTATTCAAGAAATCCTGAAGAACCTGGACATATGCATACAACAAGAGCTATGTTATTAGGAAGCTTGAAACTTATCGCTATTTCGTAGTTGTGGATTCTTGGTTTACCTTCCAAGCATTCTCCATGCTTTGTTCTGTGTTGTCTGCATTAACTTTCTGCGCCAAGGAGCTTAAAAGTTCAGCTTGTTGCATCAAAGCTGTCACTTTCGGATCATCCTTCTTAAGAAACATCCCTTCACTATCGCTCTCATTCACATTGCTTGTTTGATTGTGTTCTTCCAAGCTATCAATACCCGTGGCATTTCGCGCTAATACCGAAAATGGAGATCTTATCTGCTGATTCACACAAGACACAGCCTTTCCATAGTTACTGATCTCTGTGAGATCTAGAATCTGACTTCTCCTGTATAATAACCAACAAAAACCATGAAATGTGTGAAAACACTTGTTGAAAACTGATGTTTATTAGATCAAATAGAAACAAACTTACCTCATTTTCTTAGCAATAGGAGTTTCATTCTCGGATTTTCGCGGTGTACTGATACCTTCTAAGAACAACATTCTTTTGTTGTTTGAGTTGTTCTCTTTAGTCATAGCTTCATGCTTGGCTCTCTTCTTACAAAGTGTTGTAAACCTGTTCTTCACAGCATTATCCGTTCTACAAAACACACAAAGAAGAGAACATTAGTTTAATCACTCTGGTCTTATAACGTTGACTTCACACCCACACCATTAGATCTTGAGCTTGAGCTTTACCTGCCTGAAACCACCTTTGCTATCTCAGTCCATCTATTCCCAAAAACTCTTTGTGCCTAAAAAATCCAACACAAGACCATAAAAGACCAGACATAAAACCACAAACACCAAAATCTTATCCATGTAATGAAGTCTGTATAAATGAAGTCACCTCACACAAAAGCATATCTTCTTCAGGGGACCAACCTCCTCTTTTGAAATCAGAGTTTAAGTATGTATACCATCTGCAAACAATAGTTCCGGATTTAGAAACAAAACCCAAAAGATTTTGCCTAAAGAAAACAGAAAAACAGATCAAATCATCATTTTGATTATTGAAATCGATTCACTAACCTTCTTCTGCATTGTCTTGTGCTTTTGTCTTTGAACTTTGATGCAATGATCGCCCAACTAATATCATCAAAAACACACAACGGAAACAATATCTCAACAATCTTTTTTTAGAATCCATCTTTTCAAAAAATCAAAACTTTCTAAGAAAATTTTTAAAAACAACAAAAAAAAAACTTTTCATAGATAATAAACAGAAGAGTGAAATGAATAATGAAAACTCACTTTTCAGTTCCATGTTTAGTAATTTGTTCTCTTAGTATAACATCTTCCTGCAACTCCATAAACTCATTTCAGAATCACTCAAAAACAGAGCAATACAAAAAAAAAAGCAGAGATTCATCGTATATAAATATATACCTCTTGTGACCAAGTAACAATATGACGCTCTTTTTTCTTGGAATCTTGGTTGTTGTTAATATTCTTCTTCTTTTTCTTCTTCGTATCTTCCATTTTTCTTCTTCTTCTTCTACTTTTTTACTTCTCTCTCTTTATGTTTCTTACTCTATATATCCTCTCTCTCTGTCTCTGTTTATTATCTATTTATTTTCTTCGACGCTCCGTTACCTTTTTTAAAACCCAACTCCTCCTATCACACACAATGACTTGTTCAACTTTTTCCAGGAAAAAAATAACAAAAACTAATTAAAGACAAACTCTGAAAAGGAACTCATTTTCGTCACTGAAAACTCTCGAGTTTTACCTGCTTTATTTTATTCTCCACTGCCAATATAATTCCTCTGATTCGTTTTTTTTCTTACAGAGATTAAGTTTCTCCAAAACGGCTAAAAGAAAATGGCTACTTATATATAAGAAAACTTTTTCTTTGACACTTTTATGAGTCATTCAAGAATCATGAACACATGGGTTTTGTTTTATCAAATTCAAAATGCGAGAGAGAAATAAAGAACTACCCATTTTCTTGATTCAATCTGAATATAAATTATTTCTCTCTCCACATGAAAATATTTTTTCTTGTAGAACTCTAAAAATATTTAAAGAAGAAAGAAAATACTAAAAAGAAAAAAAGGAAAGCCAACGGAAGGAAGAGTAAGTGCGCGGGTATGAAGGGAAGTTTGAAAAAAAAAACGCTGAAACCCATGACCTTGTTCTCCATTACTGCCTCCCTCTTCACCAATTATGTTTCTTTGTCTTTCTTTTTCCATTTTTTTTTTGTTTATTTTAGTTTATAGACTCTAGTTTTTTTAAAGTATAGTAGAACTATAGGATATAAGGATATTGTAAGAAAACACTTGCCATTATGTTACGGTACTAGTGTCTATAGTTTTGTGGAGAATATGATTGCTTTTATGGGTTTCCTACACGGCTACACCGGTATTTTGAACTATGCATTTGAGTTATGATATTATATGGTTATAGATGCATGTATAATGTATATACATAATTATGTATATCAGTTGTTATGAGTTATGACTTATGATACTATATGGTTCAATACACATATTGTCACGATTGATGGGTGATGGATTCATGTGTATGAATAGGTATATCAGTTGTTATGAAGAATGGCATATTTGTTTAAGGAGAATGTACGATAAAGATTTCAAGTACGATTTTATGTAAAGTTTTTTTTTTCGTAAAGTATTCTTTAGTTTGAAGGCCTTTACTTTAATATTATCTCGTAAAATCATCAAACAAACTATCAGATTTGATATTTTTTATTATATGGTCAAAATATTTATTCATTATACTTTACATTAGTAATATTTATTCATTATACTTTACTCGTCGATTGAGATTGGCAACACTTCATTGGTGTTTTGTTAAAGAGGGTACGTGACAAGTAACGTGATTCAACGGCCATAATTCGTTTGATTTCGATTCTTCAGGTTTCAAAATTTTAAATTTTCCAAAATTAATTTCTTTTAATCTCCAATACATAGAGAAACTAAGAAAGTCATGTCCAATGAGCTGTTTCAATTTAATTTAGATAGACCCAAACGGAAAGCTCCCACCAGTCACGACCAATGCAATTAATTTTGGTAACTACTTGCTACCCTCTAGTCTTTAGTGTGTGTGTGTGTACAAATGCAATAAACAAACAAATAAATAATTAAAGTGATTATTCTTGAAGTCAATAATTTCTCTCGAATTTATCTACTATTTCGAGAAAATAATTTACTCACTTTTGAAAATTATAGCCGGATTAGTGATTTTTTATTTATTAATCAGAATGGTCATGTTTTTTATAAATATTACGAAGTATGGTTTTATTTCGAGAAAAATCAGTTTGACAACAAAAATTAAACAAGAATGAATTTTTTTTTTTTTTTTTTGGCCAAACAAAAACAAGAATGAATAGTTGATGATTTATGAACTGTCGAATTTTAATTGGAACAGGAGATACAAGCGATATATTAGCGCGTGGTACCTTGGATTTGAAATTTAGACAGCGAAGCACTTCTGACATATCACATTTTATGAACAGTTGCTGTAAGAAAATGTATTATTTTACTGTTACTTAATTGTCTTTTGTCCACATCCTTAGTTTGATTTTTCAACGATATAATTTTAGGTCCAAGTTTAATTCTCTTCTCAGTTTATTGTTTTGTATTTTACTCTAATAAGTGTCAATTAGTGCATGCAATAACATATTATATTGACATACCAGATTAGAAAAATAAGTGTCTAAACAAAGGAATATTTCCTAAAGCTTTTACTCAATTTAATGAATTTTCTCTTTTAAGATTGATGTGATTTCTTTCTGAAACAAAAAGTTTCTAATTGGATCATAACTATACGAAATTTTATCACACGTGATATTTTGTTCTGCAGTAAAATTTGGAGACGGATTCGAAATAATCGGATCTCAGCTATAATATGGTTAAAATTAAACGTTATAGTTTTATTTTAACTTCATTTGGAAAATTCGGTGGCATATCAAGATTCTTTCTTTTTCGTTCTATTTGGTGTTTTATTTTTAGATCTCACTCAAGTTTCTTTCGAAAAAACATTTTATAGAAAAAAAAAAGAAAAAAAAAAAGAAGAAAAGACATTGAAAACATCTTAACGAAGAAAAAGATAAACAGTTCAGGTCAATCTTGGTCCAGCCCAGTTTATTAGTTTATTATTAAATGTTTAATAAATAATACAAGTGTCAAAAATATGTATATTTATTATTTAATAACAATAACAATGCCTATATTTGCTCAATAACATATTAATGTGTTTACATATGTGTACGATCGTACGTACGTGTTGTATCATTCTTTGATCACCGTACCGGCCGGCCATGTAGTGCATACCAACGTATGTAGAATACATTAACAATATTTTGAATGAAAAGGATACGTGAGTTAACGTAACTATCTCAACGGAACCTTATAATTACTCTCAATAAATAGGTAGATGTATTATTATAACATATGATTTCGATTTGTAACTGAATGATGTATACATATGGAGACAGTGAGACACATATAACTACAATTATATTTATATATAATAGTTATATGTCCATTTTCCAAATAAAAAGCAAATAGCATTGTGACAAGTGTCAAGGAAAAAATCAAAGGATTCAATTTTAGTATAGTGTAAAACCAAACCCTAAATGCAATTAGACTGGTATCAGGTTAGAAAACGAGGTTTTGAACTGTTAATACTACTAGATGCGGATGTTTTGGCGGGAGGAGAATCAGTGACACACTGTTTCATTCTGTTCTCCCCACTAATATATTATTGACTTACTGTACATGACATCATCCACAATTTCTCAACACTTAATCATCATTGCATCAAATAAAAACACACACGTACAGATGTATATAACTAGATTGGATGCATAAAATCGCTAAATATTTTGAAACGAAAAGAGATAGATTCTCGAGGTTTAAATTTGCATGGGATATTGAGATACACTGTAATATCATCAAAAACCAATATGTTGAGCTATAATGTGGAAACCTAATTTGTTATAACATTCTTATAGATATTATCATTTAGGCAGCTTGCTTAATTTGACTAATTGTGTTTCCAATGTATAAAAATAGTTTGAACATCGTATAATAACAAAAACTTATTATTCTCACAAATTAATAAATAATCAAGTGTGTGTATATGTTATGGAGCAAAAGGGTCGGTGGTATGAAAAGGCCCACAAGCAGACACCGATAGAGTTACAAGAAACCAAAAAAGGACTAAAGTCTATGATAAATAATGGAACCCTATGTAAAAGCCTTCCTTTCTATTTCACATTTTACACTACAAACTCATTCACTTTTTAATTTTCTTTTAAATTAATCCAACGAAGTCTTTAGGTCTTTATAATATTCGGTGCCTTTTTAATTTTCTTTTACTACTTTATCTTCTTCTTCTTTTAATCTTTTTAAAATGGATCACATGAGTTTAATTGGATATTGATTTTTTGCTGTTGTTTGAGTGTGTCTCGATTCTAAGATGGAGGGTTATTTGTTCTCTCGTGTACATGATATTTTGTTATATATGATGTAAAAGAATTTAAATAGCGTTATTCTTTTGGTTAAAGTATTCAAAGTAAGTTAACCAAAACATTTGAACAAAAAAAGAAAGTTTTTTTTTTTTTTTTTTTTTTTAGTTAAATATATAGATTAATTCTATCCAAATGGGCTTTACAATGATGGGCTTACACGGGCCAACCGGCCCACAAAATGAAGGAGAAAAAATTGGATCGACACCAGATCGGAGATCTGAAAAAGGGTGGAATTCGGCAACACCAGCACCACCTCCAACTCCGGCGATAACAAGAGGCCCTTCGTTGCTGCTTCAACCCGACTCGAGCGACATGACCAGAGTTATCGATTCCCGCCACTAACCCGAAGCCAACGCCGGAACCGACCAGAAACTCCTCTCCCGGAAAAGATCGAAACCATAGACAACCGACCCGCTTAATCCAGTCCCCAACCAAACAACCGGAAACCTAGATCGAACCCTCACCTCCAGCATCGAAACCAACACAAGCCTCCTCCGTGACCGCCACAGCCTCAATCAGGTCAGACGAAAACCCGATGCAGCAACGATTAGAGTTGCTGGCTCAAACAAAACCCTAATCGCCGTTCTCCACACCTAGCCATCACAGATCCGAAAAATCCGCCGCTAATCGCTACGACAAACAGTGACCCCCACCAATCCGCCTCCGACTTCCGCCGCTAGTCGCAGCAGCCCCTCCGACGAGAGAACCGACAGCTTCCTTCAGTCCCCTTCTCCGGCGTCCTCAAACCAGTGATGGTACGACATGAAGGAAGCACGAAATCGTCAGGAAGATCGCCACAGCTAGCATCGGAGGCAGATCATCCACACCTCATCACCGCCGGAGAAACATGACCGTCACCAACCGATTGATCCGTTTGCCCCACCACCAACGTTGAAGATCTAGACGGAAAAGAAACCGAAGAATTTCTAGATTTACTTTTGAGGAGAGAGAAGAGAGTATAATATGGAACGATTGTCCCTAAAAAAAAAAAAAAAAAAAAAAAAAGTTAACTAT